ATGTCTGGGAAAGAGGTCAACATTTTGCCGGACTTCTCTTAGAAAAATAGGCAATTCTCAAGAAATCTAAAATGTTCATAAAGCTGGTGTGAAAATAGTCATAAGGTGTTGCTGGAAAAACTTGAAGGGCTTGGCATTATGATAAAATGTTAATGCAAGAGATTCTCCTGGCCTAGCTTGTAGCGTTCCCTCAACTTGCTGTATTTTTACTGCTGATATCAGTTTCATACTTCTAGTGTTTCTTTTAGTCTGGCAAGCTTTGTGAGGGTTGCAAAACAGTGAACTCCCTTTGGAAGAAGTGTTTTCCTTGTGCACAGATCAGATAAAGACCACGCATTCGTTATGGGAAGGCATGATGTTCTCTGGGTATATTTTGTTCCAAGTATGGCACTGTCATTTGACATTGTGGTGTGGTTGGCACAAATGATTGGCATTTTTGTGATTTTGAATTGATTAGGTTACTTCTTTGTACCATAGTGTCTAGATCTTAAAGTGAATTCCTTAGACTGTTACCAGCAAACACGGTTTTCTTTCACAGCCAAAAGCCCCAGGGTCTATACCTATTCCAGAAGGGACCAATGGTAACCACGGGTCATCAATATTTGCACCACCAACAACAGCAGCAGCACTGACAGTAGACGCAACATCATCCAATGTTGAAGCCCCTGCACCCACCACCTCCTCTCCCAAGAATCCTCTGAATGCCCTGACCTCCCTTCTCCCAGAGGGGATGACCCCTGCCAAGGCCCTGACTGCCTTAGCAACAGGAGAGCTGAACATTCCTGAAAGGTTCAGTCTTGGGGATCTCCTCCCTTCAGGACTGTCCAGTATAGCTTCCAGTTTGCTCTGTAGCGACAGCATTCCTATGCCAGGAGCTGCTGCAGACAAGGACTCATTGGGAGATGGGACTTCCGACCCAGAGAAAAAGGAGGCGGGGCCATATCAATCCATACAGCGTGTCACGTCGTTCATCACCAACGGCTCCATGAAGGAAAGCGGACCACCTCCCGAGAAACCCAAGCTACCTATCCACAAGGAGCTGCTTCACACAGCCATGGACATGTTTGCCATCCTCGTCAAACAGACAATTCACTTTGCTAAGACCATTCCGGGATTCATGGATCTGATGTGTGACGACCAGGCTGTTCTCATCAAGGCAAGCATTATGGATGCCTTGTTGCTACGATGCGCCGAGAGCTATGTCCCCGACATGGGATGCGTCATCAATGAGATGACTAATGATCTCTTCCACATCAATATGATGTATCAGATGGGATATACCTCATTACCAGAGCAAGCTTTCCAATTTATGAAGGAGACAAAAGAATGTGGACTGACAACCGCTGAATATGCATTACTCAATGCAGTGGCTATACTCTCACCAGGTATGTAGACACATATACCTCCTAAAGTTTAGTGAACTTGCATGTTTCCATCAGTGTTATTCTGCTTGCCAAGATAAAACTACGAAACTGGTACATGTACATCTCTCTACAGCTAACGTAGGGCCTGATATAGTTTGGAAAAACGGATAAATTTAAAAGTTGAGATTTTGTCTGGTAGCTGGTTGATCTTCTGTATTCTAGCCAAGAAATGATTGATAGAGAAGCTGTTACAAAGGATAAGTAACAACAACAGATGCACAGTGTCTGGGTTTTTGTTACAGTTGAATGCCGCATGAGTGATCAGCTGATGAATTCTGTAATCTTCAAGCAAACCTTAAATCCTATCTGATATTGGTCAGTTCGTAGGAAGATTTTGCATTGCACTCACTGTACATGGTATGTGCCCCCTACTGTACATGCATTTCTCTTTCAATTCAAAAGGTACTCTGAGTACATTGTGCCCAGGTGTGTGGAGCTACATGTCCATGTACTAAGCTGAAAACGTTGCTAAGAAGATGTCTGTGCTATGTAAAGATAAGCAGGAGATCAATGTTTGGTCATACACTTTGTGTGGTACCGTACCGGTACTTTGGCAGATAGCCAGTTTTTTCTAACTGCATATTTTCTGTTCTTACTTGCTCAGTGATTTTTGCCTCCAGAGAGGATTGTCATCTTTGTTCAATGGCACTCTTGGAACAGAAAGCAACCAGCATTGCATCCTCTAAGGCAACTGTATTTCATAGTTTCTCCGATCAAAATCTCAATTTCTCCTACACAGATCGGACGGAGCTTCAGAACCGTGAGCTGGTTGAGGAGATCCAGTTATCCATTGTAGAGACACTTCACGCAGCTACCAAAGTCTTCCATCAAGAAGACCGAACTCTGTTTGCTAAACTCATCATGAAGCTAACTAAGATGAGGGACATTGCAGTGGTACACCTCAGCGACTTGATGGAGGTGCAGGTACAGGAGAGGGACCTTAGCCCCCTCATCATTGAACTGTTTGGATTAGACACTAGCTCAGCCTCATGACGATGGGGAAAAGCAAAGGGAATGGAATAGATTGCAGTAGGGAAGGTCATGATACACACTTCAACTAAACCTCAGAACCTTCCAGGGGTTGTCAAACACAAAGAGAGATTCCAAGTCCAGATTATTGAAATTGGTGATTTGGATACCAGCTCAACCTCACGATGGTAGGACAAAAGTAAAATGGATGGATAACAATTCTGTTATGATAAACACATATGCCTCAGAACCTCACCAAGGTGTACAGACACATTCAAAGATACCGGTAACTAAGAGAGGCTTCAAACCCAGATTAGTATAATTAGTACATGTAAGTTGTAAACCAGCTCAGCATCATGACAGTAAGAGAAAAGGACTAGGAGTAGAATGCTGTTGTTTTGGACATAACTCAGAAAGTAGCCTGCACGTCAGCAGCCATACTGACATGCACGTACAGATCCATGTTGATTGAGCTTTCTGAAAAACCAGCTGAATGTCATTCAAATCAGAGTTAAGCAAAGCTGCTGGTTGTGGCTTCGAATGAACAATTTGGGACAGGAAGTAAGTGACATTTCAGAGGTTTATATGTAGGGCAGAGACCTACATGTATGCATCTTCATTATTGAGCTGTCTGGAAAAAGGGTCAGCTTGTGAAAACCGCTAATGATATTGGAGAAAATGTTAGGGAGCCAGTGCCGTCCCTCCTGGCTCTTTCAGGGTTAAGGGACATCAAGGTTAACCTCAACAAGCTTCACGACCGTCTAATAAGCCCTCAGTGAGGTCAGTGAATCTGGCGCGCCCAGACCAACCTTTGGGAACATATAATGTATGCACTATAATGCAGTAATTTTTATTTGTGTCATAACCAATATATTGACCGTGATTTAATTCTTACACAATTATGTTTGTAGCTTTCTTCAGTTATTCTCAAGTACACACAGAGATCAAGGTAGGATTATTCTGCTGTGATTCAGTTCTTATCAGCCAGACTTTTTTATCCTAACCTCTGGATAATTTGTATGCCACAGGAATCAAACACAGTATTCTCTGAGACTAAGCATACTTTGAAATCAAAAGTTCTGCGTGTAACGTAACATGGGCTTAGGGTTTTGTGTTTTTTTTGGGGTATACATAACAAGCTCAGTAGTTTGGTGAATGGTCACTTACTGATTACTAACAAAATAGCCAACCATCAATCATGGTACACCGTCATCAGGTGGCTTGATCAAGGCTATTGATCTTACTGAATTGGAAAGTGAATGATGGGCTTTAGATGTTGGATTTGTACTGGTATCTAAAGATTTTGATTAAACAATTTCTTTCTACAAAGTGTTTTCCCCTCCAAAGAAATGTGTAAAACTTGATGGAAATACAAGAAACTGTTAATTGAAATTGTTACTGATAATGGCACTATGAAGCTCTGAATTTATTTTTCCTTCAGATTTAAAAAGAGCAGCTGTTAAGGATGAATTTTGTTAAATAGGAATAAGGATAGGCTGGGAGTGACAGACCATAAAAAGTACAAAGGAAATGAGTGCAACACACTTTCCAAGCAGGGCAAATTGAAGGACCTCAAAAAGTTGGTTAGAGTTTCTGTGGCACTGCTTCAGGCTAATTTGAGTGGATGTACATTATTTATACATGTACAATAAGTTCAGCTGAGGTGAGAAGTTCATGTTGAAGTGGATTGAAGGCCACTTACAGCCTCCCTTAGCTATGCATACATGCATGATAGAAAAACTGTAATCAATCTGATGAGATTTCTTTGATATTGGGAGTCATATTAGATGATCATAATAGAAACATTTGTTCTGTTGGAATAACGGATCAGGGAACACATGATTTTGTCCCTTTGTTTCAAAGGGATGTTGGTTGCTTTTGACAGACAAATCTCACAATCTTACAAATCATACAAAGCTATGATATGGGTATGCTGCAGTCCGTTCAAGTAACCAGTGTATCCCAATTCAGGGGGGGGGGTAGCCAACAAAATCTCACAAGTGCTGGATAATATTTAAGTTCCTTTGAAAATGTGCCCTCGGTTCTTAATTCATTTGTGTGTATGTTTTTTTTTTCTGATGTAGGCATGATTGGAGAAAAGATTTCTTGCAAATATCTGAATTGTATTTCATAGTTCAATATTCTTCACTTAATTTTTCCAGAATCCCAATTTGTAAGATTCACACCAAAATCAATAAAGCAGTACCATTGGGACTCTGAACTTGGTTCTGCATGCAGGTAGATTCATTGAACAAAGCCTTCATTGTAGTAGAAATAAAAATCAAAGCTGAAGCACACCTGCTCAAACATGTACCGGTATGCGCTGCAATTCTGGTTTTCCCCTGTCTACGTCCAAACAGCATGGATTCCTTTGTCCCCTTACACTGTTTGACTCCCAGATCCAGATACAAATGTTACCTCTTAGTTTCCTTACATTCAGGTTGGTACCTAGAGATAGTGTCTCCTGCCTGTGATCAATTTTTAGTGGTGCTGGGGTTTGAGATCAAGGAACTCTCCCAGAATCTTGATGTGCTGTGACTCTAAGTCATTTCTGACTTTAAAATGAAGTTTAGAGTGTAAATGGAGTGGAACGTTACTCAAAAGAGAAGCATGACAGTTTCCGAATTTAACTTCCAAATTTCTCAAATCCAAAGCAGTCTTTTGGGCATGTGAAGGGAAATGTCTGTCAGCTAAATCTCACAGAACAGGTGTGTTAGATTTTTCAGGTTTGAATTTTATCATAGAAATTCTAAATGACCAACTGTAAACTACAGCTTGAAAGTAACTTCACATACAAGAGTATTTTCATTACTGTTCACAGTGCATTTTTGTTACTATCTTCAGAAGTGATGTTACGATTCAGACTTCATAAAGTCTTTCTTAAAAAATCTTTTGCCTTGTTAGAATTCAGAAGTAGTGTAAATGTACAGGAGTTTTAATTTTTATATCTTTCAAAATATGAAATGTTATACATAAGATTATAAATGTCAGAAGATTTCTAAGAATGTATTATCTTTGTGCACCCATGCTGATTTGAAATTGTGTGCTCTTTAACATGAATTTCAGACAAAATACTGAAAAATTCTTGTATCACGAACTGAAAACTGACTGTAAATGTTCTTGCAATTAAATGTATACACCGGGCAGTCTGGATGATATATGATAGAAGGACGTTTGAAGTTGCTGATTTGTTTCTGTTTCTGAAACTCCCCAAAGTGACATTTGTACCGGATTTAAGAAAGTTTCCAACCTTCAAAAGTGTGCACTTTCAGCCTGTGTTCCCCTTGAAACTCATGTCCTCCAATGAAGTGTGTGCATGGAATTTAAGATGCTGCAGTGAAGTATGACAAGACAGGTTCCCAGCTCTCTGTGTTTATCCCATGTAGGTCTCCAATGGTAGGAGGGAGGAATCAGCTTAGTGTGGTCCCAGAATGTCAGTTATGAGGCTAGAAATAACCAGCAATGGAAGCCACTCTTAACGGCTGCCGCTGTTTCCCACAGGTGTGTGTCATCGCAGCCAAAACCAGTCAATTCAAAAATAACCATATAGTCAGAAAATGTCCAGCATGTCATATCTCTCTTCAAATGTGGCCTGCTCTCTGAGAATTAGCTGTTAGTTCATTTTCTCAGTAATTTAATTTGCATTAGAAGAGTAAACTGAGCTGTTTGTGTTTATGTATCACTTGTTTTGACGTCTTGGTAAGATGGACTCTTGTGTGGGTACGAAATGCTGAGAGTGCACATTGATTTCCATGATGCTGTTACACAACAGTGGCTCTGGTAACTCCGGTCAATTCACAGTGCATAAAATATCACTGACTGCATGAGTAGGCACAGCCTCCACCTTGGAAGAAGGTGTAGCAACCACTACAATATCAGTAGCTTAGTTGAGAGTTACAAATCTCAGCTTTGTCCTTGTCTCAACAGCTTGAAGGTGGTCAAAATTTTGGCCTCGCATTCAACTATTAGACATTTCATGTCTTTGGGCCTGCATTGAGTTGAAGGGTTTCAAATCTAGGGACTAATTTCAAAGAACATACACTTCAGCCTGAAGTTGATATGGAGACAAGTCATGTCAGAAACCTTGAAGGCATATGAAAAATTTATGTGAAAAATCGCAGGATTTACGACTGATGTTGGTGCACAGCCAAGAAGAATTTTTTCAGAGATGAAGCATTACCAGTCCCCGTGCCTAGGGATTTAACAGACGCACGACTATTCAACAGATCTTGAAGCACAGGGGCCAATAACCTGATATCACACGTATTGTTTTCAGCTTTACAATGCAAGTCCCATCTTTATTTCCTTGTGTAGAATTTCATTAGTGTTACAAGGCATAAAACATCTGGTTACAGTTTGTATGAAACATAACGTACAACCAAATGAGTGAACAGCAAATGAGCAAGCTAACATAATGCTCGAAATTAAATGACTTACAAGACAACTTTAAGTGACAGTGGAGGGCGTGGGCAACAACTTGAATTTAATAAAGCTAGGCATTTCCAAATAAACAGTGCCCAATCGTACACTTTGTGAAATGAGGGCACTACTATCCAGTGGGAAAATCTTGGGACCACTGTTAAATAAACTTGTCCTTTTTTCCTAACTGACGTGTTAAAAATGAAGCATTCAAAAACAAGTAATGGCCCAAGTCCAGCTTTGCTCCCTCATCAGTAATACACTGACACAAACCAACTTTGGGGATAGAATTTGTTTCAGATGACTTCAATCGATTTTACAGAACACTTGGCAAATCTGAGTGATAAAATATGCAAATTTACACATTAGTGAAACCCTGCACATTAATTGTAAAAGTGATTAAAATTCATCCTCTCAAAATTTGATCAACTTCAAAGATAAAACGAGCCTTATTCTAACAATACAACCATGTGTACTTAACTGATTTAGATATATACTATAGGCTCATTACATTCCTGCACATAGGTACATGGGCGGTCAGGAAACCTCTGAATTTAAACAGGGGTGAGACTGAAAGAAAATGAAATATCCATAAAATAATCACCAGAGGTTTTGAGGGCCCACAGTAGCATAGGATCTATAGTGTGTTTGCCTTCATGCTTCATCACTCCTTAAAATATTCAGTTCTTGTGCTCAATATCAACTGTCATACATAAAAACACCTTAATGATAAACCCCAGAATAAGAGATTGTTTAAAAATCCAAGAATCTGGCAAATCCATGAGAAAAATGCTAGAATAAGGAAAAATCCCGCTTCACCCCTGTTGAAATTAATCAGCTGAAATGTCCACTGGAAACCTGTGGTAGATTGGGTAGCCTCTATCACAAAATATAACTTGAAACATCACTCGTCAAACTGTGACATGACTCCTATCTTGGTGTGGACAAACTAGAGAGAGCACCCATCAGATGAATTTTCACCCAAGCACATCAAAACATGCCTCACTACTTATAATAAGCATAGGTCTGTAAATCTGTAAGCATTACATGACATTTGAAGCAAGATGTGGGACGGAGAGACCCCTCCCCTGCCTTTGTGTTGATCATTGTTTGATCGGAATCTCAGGAATTCTTTACAGACTTCTGGGGGATGCGTGAGGTAACAATAGTCTAGAGTGTGTATAGGGATTGGACAGGTCAGGGGGGTACCCCTCCGTCCCATATCTTGCCTGGCAAACTACATGAGGTTGGATGAGAAATTTCTAACTCTTTGGAAGTACCAGTAATTGAGAAAGTTATTTCCATTTGGGGAAAACTAAGATGTTTCAAGTATGAGAAAGGCTGCATGGATGGACAAAAATAATGAAAAGCATAATATCTATCATTACTGCCTGAAAATTTATTGTTCAAGGAAACTGGTAAATAATAGTCTGTGCTACGGTTCATGTATAACCATAACTCTTTACAATACTTACAAATAAAAAAACTCCAAGAATTCCTTTACCAACCGGACCCCGCGGATGAAAGTCTGTAGAGCATGGTATAGATTAATGCTAGAAAAAAGGTACCCAGTTTCTATCACAGACAATTTAAAATAAATACCTTGTTCTTCCATTGCAAAGTAATTCTACATTGGGAATAACAAACATGAACATCTGTGAGCTTGGTGCTGCAGACACCTTTTAACAATTAGAAAACAACTGCATGCTTCTGTGGATATTTAAAAAATCTACATTTCAGCAAAAAACAAAAATAAGTTAATATTATACTTACAAAAAGATGCTATGCCTAACCATGAATAAAAAATAAGGCAAAGGTTTCACCAAATGTTTGCCTTTATTTTTCTTTACAGAAAAGCCGGAAAAATTCCTTGTGAAAAAATGCATGGGAAGATATGCAAATCATGTACAACACAGGAATAAATTTCATTCCAATCATGAATAAATAGATTATACATGTAGAAACTTGATAAGAAACAAACCCCAAAACAAATACTTCTTTTGCTATTTTGCCCCAGGCCCCTAAGTTATGCCACCCGAGGTGAAAATCTCTATAAATATTTCCAAAAAATACTTGGTACAAAACTCGGTATACGACAAATCATGCCTGACCCCTTCAATATTCTCTTTGGATAAAATCCAACCATTCTCTCGATTCAAACTGAATTCTCAAATCATTTTAGCTGAGGGAATTTTCATTACCAATTCATCAACAACTTATCCACTTTTTAAAACAATTTTACAATGAAAAATTATATACATATCAATGCACATGCCAAAAAATACAACTACAGCATGTGAGTTTCATACCTGGTCCACTCTGTACAATTGCTACAAATTAGATCAAACAAGGGTATCGTATATGCATCAAACTGTCAATGTGTCCTTTTGACGAAGCCTTTTTTTGAAAGGTAAATAACTAAATCAAACATCAACTACAATCTGACTTATGGACCAGAGTTTGTTATTTAATGGATTTTTGTGGAATTTTCTCCAGCTTTTCTAATCCAATTGCACAATTTTGTATTATCAACTGAAGAAATGCCTGCAACGATATGCATACAGGGTGAATTCCTACAATGGAACATTAATACTGTTTTGTTGCCTTTTATTACAGAAATCTTATATCTTGGTTTATTGATGCTTTTATCATCAGAGTACGCACTGGAAATTGGGGCTTTCTTTGCATGTGCATTATACACAAGACAAGGTGCGAATACGTGCTGTACAACATGGCAGTGTGGGTTTATTACAGTCAAACAATGCAATAAATTATAACCTACAGAAGCGGTAAACTTGTCACAACTTGTCAACTGCCACTTCTATCAATGCAAATTGAAACAAAAGCTCAAAGTTTTGTGAAAACATGTAAGTTGTAAAGCACACAATCCCACACTGTCTTACACTGGTTTGATAATGAGATACATGTGGCAAGTTTAAATAGCAAATTAGAAGGCTTGACATTTTAATCCTAGCAGAATCTTCCTCAATCTTCCTAAAGATTTGTGCTTTACACTTGGCAGATCCATCAACTTTTGTCCAAAGTGGATTTACCAGTTGTTTATTGTTGATTGTTCTTCCGGTATTCCTGTGACGCATCCATATGAATGGGAAAATTGATGCAAAAGGCAGGAGGCCACACAGACTGCAACTATCACAAAGTCATGTTGTATCCATGTTAGGTTACTGGAAATAACTTTACACCTTTGAATTGAAATTTCACATTTCCTTTTTTCAGGCATGCTAGATAACAAAAATAAACACCGTTTTCCACATCAAACATTGTGAGGTAAAAGCTGGTCCAAACTGACTTCATTCTCTCCTTGGCACCAAATTTCTATCACACTTATGCACAAGTTCATCCTCTTCCCCAGAAAAGTGAGCTGAGATACAGACTCCAAACCAAATCAAAAATTAAAGACATCCAATTATTTTGTGACCAGAATTTGATATGAATATAACATTTTTCTGGGGCAGAATTTTGACTGATGTAAACCTTTGAAATAACAGCCAAACAGATTTCCTTATATATCATGACTCATCTAAATTATCACAAATACAATACAAGTTGTGTACTCTGTACATGTATATGTATCTCCTTGTTACATGTAGCTTTTATTCACTGCAGTAAGTCACTTTCCAAGAATTTGTTTGGACAGATAACAGATGGTAGGATGTTGAGCAGTAGCTAATTCAAGGTGAAGGGTTTGTTGGCACAGCAATAGGGACTGCTTCTACAGTTTGCACCAAAAATTATACAGGTTAATGCTGTCTTTAACTTTAGCTATGTCTGGGGCAGACAAAATCGTCACAAAAGCTTTATCTACTGAAAACGTGACCTGATTCTGTTTGATCACCTGTACCACTATGATGTTACCAAAAGACCTATGGCTGCACTTTCAAATTCATGTTCGACTTTAACCAAATAACATTTGTCAAGAAGACCAAAGTACTGGTCCAAAAATAACTTAGAAATTTCAACCCACAGTTTATTGCACTTCACAGCTTCATCTCAGGAGACTGTTAGGACAAACTCAAGTAGAGTTCCCCTATATAACACAATAATCAGCACATTATCATGTTATGAGACATTTCACTTGACAGTGGGTTTTCCAAGACACTTTTCATTGTCATAGCCGTGGCTTTCATTCTTACCCTATCAATGTACATGAATGTATTTTCAAAGCAATCCAACAGCATGATGTAGAAAACAGTTATTTGATGGATCCTTGCATTCAACAATGCCAACAACCTACGACTTGGCATGGACTGAAAGTCCCTTTTTGTAATGTACTGCCTCATATTTGGTCTCAGTACCGGTTTATCAGAAAAGGATTTCAAGAATAAAAATTGAAGGCCAATTTTCATCCTCCAAATGTGACATCTTCCGACAGTGTACAAGAAAAAGGGAACCAACACAAACAGAGAAGCAGGAATTTTGCAGAAAACTTGTGAAGACTCTCCACTGCCATTTAGTTCTCGTTCACACCCTGACGGGTCTCCTCAAACTAAAATCTTCACACAAAATGTACACCAAATTCTGAACAGCAACAGAAAGCAGGCAAGCCCAAAACGCAGGTTGCAGTAGATACCGGTATCTACTCACACACACGTTCCACACCACTAAGCAATAGCCACAGATTGCTACAGTAGCAGTAATGTTTACAGGAAGGCTACAGACATGTAGAGTGGGTCACATTGACCAATGAGAAAAGCATGTCAATGTGTCAACAGCTCTTAAAGATGCATGATGGGATAGGAGTCAAACCGTATGCAATACAATGCTGTGACAGTGAGCTAATTTGGGGGAGGGGCAGGGATTGTTTCTGTTTCCTTTCTATCACCCTGGCATGTCAGATCTGGCATCGGTCGTCCATCAGCATTCAGTCAATGGCTTCTTGGAAGATGAGTTTGATGTAACCGGTATCCCCGGACAGTGGCATTGCACAGAATGGACAGGCAGCTTGGAATGCATGGGTTCCATGTGGCAGTGGAACCTGGGACCAGTATCTGTATAGAGATGGACAGAAATCAAGACTTGGAATGAAGGCTGAGATTGGATTAAATAAGGGTTACTCACTGACTGAGTTTAGATTATGAGGGTGGTATACGCAGGTCTACTAGCATGTACAGGAATGTTTGGAATGAAGGCTGAGATTGGATTAAATAAGGGTTACTCACTGACTGAGTTTAGATTATGAGGGTGGTATACGCAGGTCTACTAGCATGTACAGTAGGAGGGATTACAATCTGACAGGAAGTAACCACCTTACACAGAATTCACTTCTAAATGGCACCATTTTCAATCTTCGAAGCCCTTTAGCTGAGAGGGTTTGAAGGGCAACATGAAGGAAATATGTTGTCAGGATCTGAAGGGATAAACTGGGCACAAGAAAAGTGCTCTGGAAAAGGCTGGGTGTTAGATTGCTTGCCCCGAGCTTACTGCACCAAAGACTGTGAAGGATAAGCCAAACCAAGCACTCTCCACGCCGATAACTTCGAAAGGCTTCAGTGAGAGAGTCATGTCTCTTAAAGTACAGTAGGAGAATGTAAGCACATACTTAGATGGCTGAAGACCCTGGAAGTAATTTTAATTCCACAAAGATTAAGACTAGATTGATATAAGGACTGTCTGGTGGGCCATGACAAATGATTTCAAAATAACAAATTAATCAGATTTCTGTCTATTTCAGATAAAACCTGAAAACAGTTTGAATAGGACATGAAATCAAATTAAGATCATACAATCTAGAGGAGATTTGAAACTTAATATGTCAGTACAGACCAAGCTAGGAACACTTCTTGTAATTTGTCTTCAATACTCTTTTACCGACAAACCTAAAGGCATTCATGCTGTAGAGGGAAAGTTTTTTAATCAAAATTTTCATTATTTTGAGACGAGCATTACGGAGAAATAAACATGCCACTTACTTGACAGTTTTTTCGGAACACACGTGACCACAGGGAACATAAGCATGGGTTGGATTTCCAGAGTCGACGTAGAAACTGGGTTCATTTCCCATGATGAGAGGTTCATATGATCCTGCCTGTAAGCAGAAATAATGTGTCAGAACAACAACACTGGTTAAAATTCTTCCTGTAATTCAAGGAATAGCGTGTCTGCTGCCCTCTTTAGATAATTTATGGACAACTACTGTATTAGATGGGGGCAGCATACCCGTAGCATGTAACCACTCTTTTCCAATACATAATCTCTTTAACACTTGTAACTTGTAAACATGATCTGGCAATTTCCATACAGAGAAGCAGGTGGTGCATATATACGTTGTCTCATGCTTCAGTGGGTTCCCACTGGTTTTGTAGGTCTGACTAGTCTTTAGGGGTTGATAGTGTGTTGTAGCCTGACTTTGCCGTGTTCCAAAGCTGGTCATCTAAGCAAATATTGCTTCATGGTACATTGTACAATCAGAGGCCAACAACAAAGCATTTTCTGGTGTCTTACTTACTGTACACCAAGATGTTAACATGTTTTTACTTATTCAAACAGTTGAAATTTTTAGCCAAAACTAATACCACACCTTGCACTTATTAACTGTAAAATAATACTATCAGAAAATGGTTAAAATGTACCAAAATTTGCTTCATTCAAAAACTGTACTCAAATCTCTATAACTTTTGGAAAACAAAATGAACCCTTAAAAATAAATGCAAATCAAATTACAGATTAACCCTAACAATCCTCAATCCTTCAGCTGTTGGAGGACTAAAAGCAACCAACATGTATGTGAGCATGAACTGATTAGAAGCTATCCTACCTCTCGACACATGGGACAAGTCCTCTCTGTCTTCTGTTGTGTGCTCTTACTGTCCCATTGATGGTAACCATGGACATGACCACACTTGAGGTACGCATAAGGCTGCTTGGAGTTCTCATCTAAAATCTAGGTGAGTTAGGGGAGAAAGTTGCACTCCTGAATAAGTTGCTAAATCTGTTTCACTCTAAGACCACAACAGAGGGAAAGTACAGTTTTGCCTGAAAAATTTCATCGAAAGCAAAGTAAACATTTTCTTGTTTTGTCCTTTCATTGCATTTTTAGATAGCAATAAAAGAGTTTAGGATCTGGTCCATAAATTACAGTGCACATTGCTGGAATTGAAGGCGGTGTTTTTTCCGGAGTAACGTGACTTGTCAAGCCACATCGAGTCAAGCCATGTACAGTACTTACGCATGTACTGGTCACATCATTTTCTTTAATGAAAACATACGTGCCCTTTTATACATCATTTGCGTAATAAGGAACAGCATACTGATATATTGCAGCATGTGGCGTGATACACCTGATGTGCATGGTGTGCCCTGTGATAGCATCTTTGCAACCTCCATCTCATGTCTCTCACAGGAAATGCACAGGATTCTGTGGCTATCATGCTACTAGTAGGTTTCTTTATATTTATTCCCAAAGGATTACGGACGACTGCCATGAGGGAGGTGTTTTCCACCCCTTGGGGGATATGAGGGAGGGGGAGAGTAAAAAGGTCACATGCCACATCCCAGCAATCACTT